TTCAGGTTTCGATTTCTCGAGTAATATAATATTCCAGAAGCGACGCGGTCGTCGATAACCGACCTCTCCATCCGTCCACTTTATTAAATACAGAGCCGCGAATCGGACACCGATTTCACCTCGATCGAGTGGCAAATTTAATTTCCGCGTAATGCTAAACGTTCATTCCCAGCCTGGCTGATGCCCGTCGTGTTAGGAAACAATTGTACAGGTACGTACGTCGGAGGGTAGACGCGTTGACTGAAAGAAATTTTCACTTTTAGCTGTAACGTGAGTTTCGAATGCTCCTGCGACCCTGGATGGAAAGGCATGTTCTGCTCGGAACCGATTTGCGCCTCTGATTGTCTGTCTAGTCAGGGGTACTGCGAGAAGCCCGGGGAATGCAGGTAAGGCGCAACGCGTAATGGCCGAGTAATGAGCGGTTATCAGTGCCGGTAGCGGTGGATCGAAGCAATGAAACCACCGTCTGTCCGACCCTAGTCCCATTAACGTTCGTAGCTGGCAATTTAGAGGAAGCGTGGAAGCTGCGAAGCCATCGACCACAGCTTTTCCACCGCTTCGCGCGGTTTATAGGGAAATTTGACAGCTTTTATCGGACCGTTCGTCTAACAGAGGTGAAAGGTGAGGTAGAAATGTGCGAAATTTTGCTCGTAGGTGTCGATTAGGCTGGCAGGGATCAAAATGCAAGCAATGCGCCGTTCTACCAGGCTGCGTGCACGGGACGTGTCAGGGCCCACTCGAGTGTCGCTGCGAACCAGGCTGGACCGGACTTCTTTGTCAAACGCGTAAGTTATCCCTGTTCTCTAGTTCTTTCCCTAGGATGCATAAGTCTATCCGAGCCTTCGGTCTCGTTTCTCTATAACTCGCGCGTTTTCTCTGGCCGCAGCGATTTGCTCGCAAGGTTGTAGCCGAGAACACGGCGCTTGTCGACGCCCGGGAACATGTAGGTGTCGCGTAGGCTGGACAGGTCCCAACTGCACCGAATGCGTCCCTTATCCCGGCTGTGTCCACGGGTCCTGCAAACGACCATGGGAGTGCCGATGCGAGCCCGGATGGGCGGGTGATCTATGCAACGAGAAGCTGACTTATTGCGACGAGCATCCAGGAATTTGTCGCAACAATGCCACTTGCATCAGCATGACCAAAGAGGATGGCAATTACAGGTAAAGCTCTTGGCCATTGACTTTGACAGTGATACAGCTCGATCGATCGCCCGGGGTAACGATAAACTCGAATGTTACTCGCAGATGCATCTGTCCTCTCGGCTATATGGGTCGTCAGTGTCAGATTAAAACGATGGTGCCATCGACCGAGTTGATACCGCCGATGCCGGATCAGACCGATCTGGACGCGAAACCGCAGATGATTTCGACGAAGCCAGGCACGAACGATACGCCGCAAATGTTAAACGAGGACAAAAATAACGTTAAGGACGAGGAACAGACGGTAGAACCACTCGGGCCAATTGTTATCACGGATCCACCTTCAACTATCGATCCCGCAGCTACCGTAGGAAAATGGCCAACGGAGCCACCCACCGAGCCACCGATCACGGAAAGGGACGACGAAAATGAAACGTAAAATCAAAGAGTATACTCGAACCTCTCTTTCACTGTTATTTATTTAATTAATTTATTTATTTATTCCAATTAGAATGCATTTATTTTAATCGTAATCCTCGATAATTATCAACCACAGATGTAATCGGTAAAGACATTTTATCGTTGCTCAGCCAGATGTAGAATAAGCGATATTGTAACGTCATAAATAAACGTTTTCGATATTATAACGATCCCTTACGGCAAATATACGTACTCACGGATCTGCGACCGTGAGGTATAACTCTCTCTCTTAAGGAATTCAAATTTGAAGGGTCGAATTTGAAGACTGAAATTTGATAAATTGGAATTGGGAATTTTCATTTTAAACACGAGTGGCAATCTACGAGGAAGCGTCTCGATTATCCGAGAGACATCTTTGAACGCTTTTCCTTTGGGCAAACGTCAGAGCCGAGAGTTTGCGATAGGGTTACCCGAGAAAGCGACCGTCTCGCTACCTCGAAGCCAATTATTGCCTCTAGTGGACGGCCAGGACGTAAATGGTATCTACTTAAAGTTCCACTGGTGCCTATACTCCCTCGGTATAAACGCATATAAACATTCACGTGGCACGTCACGCTCGAAGGGGCACACGTACGATGTTACACGATGCATAGTGCACAGCTCGCATGTGCCGTTTCCCATCGATGCACACGCGTTCAGATCGGTTGCCCACGTAATCGACTGTCCGAGTCTCGTGTTCCTTACGTAATGCGCTGAATTTTTACCCCAGGAGCGTGCGTCACGCTGCAGCCGAAAGAAATTCTGCATGCAAAGGTAAGCGACTGTAAGTCGAAGACTACCAGCCTCAAACGATCCAACTTCCAGTCTGTCCCTGCAGAGGATCTTTAAGCAGATTACAAAAGTTTCCAGCAACTGTAAACTAAGCTTTAAGCACCGCGAAGCAGCTGCAACAGATCCGTGAACTCGCCGGGAATACCAAATGGTTGATAATTGAATTAAAAACCCGATAAAATGCCTGTACAGTTTAAAGAGAACTCGAACGTCGTTCGATCACGGCGCTAATTAATTTCTTGCTCCGCTGCGACTCGTCAATTTATGCATTTCGACCGATTCAGTTGCCGTTCGCGTACCACGGTCGCTGAAATCGAGTTATGGAATAACTGGGTTTACGTTTTGCTCGTTGCGGACCGAATCGAGGTCTGTCCAGGTTAAAGTACGTTTTAATCGATGCTTTAAAAATCATGCCGACAATTACGGTTGCGTAGCCTTTCACCGGTCGCGATCGAGCAACGGTCGAAAAATGGAAAATATCTCGGAGAGAATTTGAAAAAATTGCAATTCCCGTGGAACGAGATTTGCACCGACGGGTTTAAGGGTTGCCAGCGAGTATCGCGATTTGGATTACGACCTCGTTACAACGTTTCGACTCATTTATATGCCACGCATGGCTCTTCGTGTATACATAGATTATGAAGCTACATTCTCTCGACCGGTTTTCGCGTCGAGACACACTATCGACCGATGTGTAACGCGCGCCCCGATCGACACGCTTCCTTGTTCGAGAAAGATCGATCTTTGAATTGGAATCGGGTCTGGTTTCCGGTTCCGGGTCCATTCCCTTCCCGAACTGGTGTACGCCCTCGTAACACGGCGTAACGCCGGTTTATCTCGCGATTCCTTCGGATCACGTATATCGCACGTGTGTCGGCCGGCCGGGGGAAAAGCGAACCCGAAGTTGCAGGATTCGATAATTAACAACCGGGTAGTTGAAAGTAAAAACGCGAGGCAGGGGAAACTCGGCGGCCAATTAATTCTTTGCGTCACAGGTCATCGTTGCCTCGCCTCATTTTTTTTCACAGTCGAACGACCGCGCACGCGGATTATCATGTACCGAAGCGGTCATAATGTATCAAACCCGTCTGACCCAGATTTCACGACTGACAGCGAGGTAATCTAACTTTTTGCACAAATATCCACACCGGTTGAAACAGAGTGTCGCTTCGAAGAACTCGAATTTCGCAGGCCGCGATATTCTTCGGCATCCGGCCACTCGAAAAGCGAGCGTGCACCGGTTAAGGATGCAATTAGCTATGCGAGCCGTGGCGGTGAACGTAATTACTCATTGTGACACTTCTTTATCCGCTGTCGTTCGTCCATCATTACCGCTAGCCTCGTTTCCAGTGCATTATCATTTCGCAAATACGTGATTCGATTCCAGTTCACATGCACGCGATGCAAAAACTAATGGGTCCGTTTGTTTAACCGGCAGCCTTGATAACAGCCGCATCATTATGCTCTTTTTGGTGGCAATTGGAAGATTTGTTGGTTCTCGAGTGACCTTCGGCTCGATGAATTAGGAGACGATTGAATCAGAGGTGTTCCAAACTCGACACGCTATTTCTCGACGATTCTTTGGCCTACTGCTCGACGAACAACTAAAAGGGCCATTGGTTCGTGCTTGAAAATAATTGACACTTGTATTCGCTACGCGATCTGGCCCTTTCTTCCATGCCGAACGTACGAAGCGAACGCCTGCTTATGGGAGACAGAAGGGATCTCGGTTCCGCTCGTTTAATGGAATGATAGGAGCAGTTTCAGAAAAGGCGTAAATCGTCGAGCGATGACGACGCAGGCCGACGTTCCGAGAAGGACGATTATCAGAGCATGCTAAAAGACAGGCCGATCTCTGGACGTGCTTCATTAGCCACGATCAAAGAAGGATCGTACCTGCAATCCAACGATGCTGAGTCAGTCGTAAAATTAGTCGGCGCTAACGAAGGACGGTCGCCCGTAAAACTATCCGAAATTTTAAGTGGCGCTCGATCGATCCTGCAATCAAGCTTTCAACCCCTTTTCCCGCGGACCAATCGCGGAGAATTTTATCGCGTCTAGGTCCTCTCTGCATACCAACGTCACGAGGATATTCCACCGTGCTCAGCCATCAAAGCGTTCCCTAATTACCCCGATCGAGAGCGTACGGCGATCAACGAGCGATCAATCGAAATAAAATGGAAAGCCGGAGTGCTCTATCCGCAGATGCCTGAAATTCCATGGCACGCGATATGATTACACGGTTGCAATAATCGTGGAAAAATTCAAGGTATTCGTTATTGAGCAATTATAGATCTTTCCAGATCTACAGAGATACGCAGGCGTCCAATCGATTTCGTATCTGACATTCGGCAAACGTTGTTCACCCATTTCCTACTTTCTACAGTAATTCATTCATTTCCACGATTTCCTTATCGGATTCTATTATTGGCTTTAATTATTAACACCGATAGATTAACCGAAACGTACAATTCGTGGCATCGTACCCAAACGCAGACTGAAACGGAGGTTTCGTCCAAGTTATATACCCGCTTCGTAGACGCTTATAGGAGATCGCTAGAGATCAGGTTGATCTTCGATCGCGAAAATTTCGTTGGACTGCAACAACGCGATCCATACACCACGGATCATCGATATCCAGTGGTAACAGTCGAGCTTTGGTCGAAACGAGTCGACCCAGATCTCGATCGCGACCTCACGCGTCGCGACAGCGAACGTGAAACGCGACTCGCGACGCGTAAAGTTCTCGAGGCTTCCTCGCTGACAGTCGACGCTCGAATCTAGTGTCCCTCTGATAATCGAGCCACCTAATAGAACGCACTGACAAGGCAGTTCGACGAAACACCTGTGAAAACAACGGGCCCACAAAGGGTATACCTGTGCGCGTTTCTACTTCCTCGAGTTTGCCGGTTGATCGGCTAACGAACTTGACTAGCGTTTACCGCCCACGCATCGAAAGAAACGCGGCGCGAGCTGGTGGAAGAGAAGGACAGCTCGTCAGCGTGGTTGGCGAGAGAGGAAAAAATGGAGAGGAAAAAGAAAAAGAGCGACGGTGGAGAGCGTACAGGAACGTGGATCGTTCTGTGTAACGCGGGCTTCCAGGTGGAACGGAGAACAGGAAAAGCCGCAAGATCGTTCGGGCGGAAGGGAGGGGCTCTCACGAGCGATTTCCCTTTCAATCGGTTCGCCCTTCGCCGTTCTCGCGATCAGAAAATTCCAGATCCGCAATTGCACAAATGCGTCGGTCAAACGGGGTCCGCTTTCGAGCGGTCGTCGGAATGAAAATCGACCGGCGCGGGGTTAGGTTTTATTCGGCTTGGGGGCCGGAAGGGAAAGGGCCGACCGCTTCCCTTCTCGCGTTTTCTCTCTTTCCTTCATCCTCGGTCTCTCTGCTCCGGGGGTCCGTTCAAACGTTCCTCGGTAAATAGAGGGCAACCGTTGAACGATCAAAGCGCAGCGTGTAATTACCTTGCAGCGCGAGCGACGTAGGTGTGTGCTCACCGGGAACGTTCGCCGGCTGTGACGTGCGCTTGAATTTTAAGTTTCACCTCGATACACTGATTTACTAAACGCTCTTGCGAGATCGCGATGGAATGGCAAGTGTACCGACGATCACCAACGGCCAACGATGGCGTCGCTGCTCGCGCGGATCTCTCGCGAACGGGCGCAGAGGAATTGCTCGAGAGGTCGGTTCGCCTCACGGAAGGCGATATAGGGAATAAATCTTTGAGCGATTTGAGAATAGCGCACGACTCGCAACAAAGTACTTTAATCGTGCATTTGACCCCGGTGTCGATGATAATCTGCGCAGCTCGTTTTCCCATTGTCGGTGCTGGTCGTAGAGCTAGTACCGTAATGGTTCTTACGTAATTCCGTGCCGGTTATCTGGTCCAACCATCTACATTACAGCACGCCGTTGGCCCCGTAGCTGCAACCCATAATGCACATCGTGTATATGCACCGATACGCTACGATATAATGCACCCTGGTAAGTAGCACGATTGCGTTTCTTTCAGGGTCGTACGAAGAAACCGCAGACGTATTGTGCGTGAGAATCTTTCTCTTCCTTCCTTTTTGCTTCTTCTTTTCACCGTCGTTATTATTTCTTTTTAACATTAGCATCGGGTAGAGCCGAGATCAAGGAAGAACGGGAGGAACGAACCGCGAAACAAATCGCGCTCGATGAAG